TGTCGCACCAATCGCTTCTAGTTGTGCATGTGGCTGTGGCCCCGCCACAGTGGCATCTATGCTATGGCAGCTTTCAGGACTCTAATTTCAGAGAAACACAACGGCTGTTTTTATTAAGGAGCAAATGATATGCGTTTAAAAATTACTTTTTAAAGACAACACTTCTAAAGAATCCACTTTCTTTGATGTTACACATGTGCAATGAATTTATAATTTTAATTTCATATATTAAAACAATTAAATTTCAAATTTTTTTAACATATAAAAATTTTGTAAATTTTCAACAATATTTATTCTGTCAACTAATTCATGCATTGTCTCCGACTTAACACAAGTGTGCAAACTTTCAGTTTTATTGGACAGGTGGAAGTGTGCCAAATGTCAATTATAAGATTTGTAACAGACAACATTATTTTTTAAAATTTTTGTTAATATTGAAAAAAAAATTTAATTTCTGAAATTATTTTTTCTAAAATTGATACATGCATTGTCTCCGACTTTATGCAAGCATGCGAAATTTCAGATCAATTGGACAGGTAAAAGTGTGTTAAATATTGATTATAAGTTATGTAGCAGACAAAATTATTTTCTTAAAATTTTGTTTAATATAAAAAAATTTTTAATTTGCAAAATTATTTATTCTGTCAATTGATACATGCATTGTCTCCAACTTTAAGCAAGTGTGCAAAATTTCAGATCGATTGAACAGGTAGAAGGTGTTAAATATCGGTTATAAGATTTGTAGCAGACAGACAAACAAACAAGAAGTGCAGTTAAAGAGAAGTGTTGTAAGATAGGCTTTGATGGGAACAATAGCTCCTAATTGTAACCGCTGTACAATTTACATAGCACCAGAGGGAGAAACATTCTATATTATGACGACAGATATTGTACAGTTGAAACTCACATTTTAGATGAACTCCTTTTTTCGAATTTTGATAGAACTTATAGTATTGCATACATGAAAAACAAATAAGGTACAAAATATTAAGTTAATAATGAATTAAAATATAACTCAGTACTCACTGCAGTGAGTGACAGAGAGAGCATTTTCTCGTCGAGGAAAACGTGAAAAGTCACTGACAGACGGATGGACAGACAGACGGACGGACATGGCGAGCACAATAGCGCCTTTTTCCATAAATGAGAAGATGCGCTAAAAAGTTATCACAACGAATTTCACTAGGCGTCTATTCGCGCAGTCTGCCTTTGATTGTTTCTTAGGGAAAGCTGGTGCTTCAACTGAGATTCTTGATTCCCGAAGAGGGTGCTACCGACATCTCAAATCAGGGGTATAATGGGGCCTATTTTTACCTTTTTATATGTAAGGTGAAGAATTGTCCGTCCACTTTGATGAAAATTTGCAGTGTTTAGTGCCCATTAATCGGACGAATTCAGTGCCAAAATTACCTTACATTAGTAGAAAATATCGTCATCCATAATCATGCTGTTCAGGAAGCTTAATTTCGAGACTTTGTCGCCATATTCTTTCGATCAAATTTAGGAAACTTTGGGAGCTCGAGCGAAAAAAAAATCTGTTCTGTCCCTGCGTCCAATAATCGAAAATTGTTTGATATCAAATTGCATCTCATCTTGTGAGTTTTACTCATCTATACGTGACCGTGAAAACTTGTTGCTGAAAAAGTAGAAACTTGAATTTCTTGCCCGCAAATGATGTAATTTAGGCACTTTCTCGCTGCTTTAAAAATATTACTCCCAAATACAATTTTTTAGAATTTAAATATAACACAATTAAAACGACTCTCATTCGATTATATTTTGTACAGTATTTGGAACGCAATACAGCTAATTTAGTTTTATTTTTATTTATTCATAATTACAAATTTTGGCCAAAGAGCTAGATTACTCTTTAAAAAAAATAGATTTAATTTTTAATGAAAAATGTGAGATTGGAACGCCTTGTGAATAAATTTAATCTATCTGATTTCACCATAAATCCCCAATTTTGGCCAAAGAGCTAGATTATTCTTTTTTTAACAATTGTGGGATTTTTTTTATGTGTGGGATCCCCACATTCTGAGCAACTACTAATAAAAATTACATTTCTTCAACTTAAAAATAATGAGAGCATTGGGCGTCTGTGTAGGCGACGCCTCCTGTATCGATGCGCATTTTTGTTTGTACGTGGTAAAAATACGAGTACATGTTTGAATATAAACTGAAAAATTTGTCCACGTTCAAAAACTCACTCCACTAATTGCTGCTGACCAAGCCAGATAGCCAGATATAGAATGAACAAATACGCATACATTCGCAAATATTTATTTGACTGGTATGTGCAATTCTGTCGAGATTCCTAACGATAATCTTGGATCTGTTTTTATTCTTTGGATTCTTTTATAGACGTACCTACATAGTGAAGCTGAAAAAATAATAGCAGGTTTCATGTAGCTGCCAACATTCTAAAATAAAATTTCAATCCGGCAACAACAATTTGAAGAGCAATAAAAAGTTCTTGGAAGTTTTTTAATGGGAATTTTAATTCAACAAATTTGTGCACAAGCTGGAGTATTTTGCTCCGGGCTAAATCAAAGTTACTTCTGAGAGCGTATGTGAGAAGTGAGCATTAAATGACTATTCTTTATTTCCTCGTTGCACCATCTTATAATTTTTCTGTATACATTGTAAAGGCAAATAATGATCTTCCCACCCACAGGCTACGTTACATTCTTCTGCAGGAGTTACGGCACAGCGTTTCTCGTACGAACAATTCCCAAACCTTCTTTAGTCACTTCGTTATGCGATGGCAGGCGAATTTATTTATTATTTATGAAGTGCATCCAAGGAACGCTCAGAGTCAGGCGACAAACAACAGGTCACTTGTCACTATCCAAGTGCCAAAAGCTCCTACGCCGAAAAATTCTGACGTTTTTACAGTTCTGTACGGACATTGTAAACTATGTATGTATTTATTCAGCGCTCAATTATACATGATATTCACATTATCAATTGAATGCATGAATGTATGCAAAAACGTTTCTTAATTTTGGTAGCTGTGATGCTGCTATACAAAACAACTGGCTGCAGTAGAATATTTTGCCTGCTTATTGTTTGCAAATTATGTAAATGAAATATTTTAATCTGTAATCTTAGTTCCAAACATTTTATCGGAGTTTGAGCGCTAATTTTTACATGGCTCACAGCCAGCTATTCCTGAGACTGCGTTGTTATAAACTGACACTACTGCTGAAACAATTCTCTTTCATTACCATTACTGATTACATGAATTTGTTAAATATTTCTATAGACAGTGGACTCATTTATTGAAAGTATTTTTCCCGTGGTTTTACTGTTGCTTTGAGAATGTATAATTTTTATGTTAATTAATTTTCATTTTCTCCGGAAAAATACAGTAAAACAGAGCACGCGTCAAAAATTACATGCAATATTTACTGCTGTAATTAAGTGATGTAGTGGTGGGCATTCGTCTGTTATTAATTTTCTACTGATTTTGTTGTGTATTTATTATATATGATTTTGATGCAGTGTAATCCGTAGTTCATGTCTGGAGAATAGGTTTTACTGATATTCATTCGTGTCCCAGAACCCACACAGGCAACGTGCATGTATGGTTGTGTGAAGTTATTGATATTTAATCATACTTTATCGGTGTTTATCTCTTGTCGTTTATTCAGTGAAAATATATATTGTAATCTTGTGTTTCATATTGATGCGTTCGTACTCGTGTATGTTTTAGTGATTTGATTCGGCTTATCTTTTATCTATTTTAGTTTTTTTTCTTGCCATCGTAGGACCTGAATTATTCTGGATAGTGACCTGAATATTATTCACGTGTTACTTGAATTATTACTCACTTGACCTATTGAAGTCTCACCTGAACTTCAAGCTATTCAAGTTACTCACACCTGAATTATTCAAGTGTTAAATATACTGTCAGCACTAATGATCAAGTGACATATTATTATTCTAAAAGAGATGGACAACTGAGAACCTGGGGTGGATCCCCTACAGTGCAGTTTCTTGATGATCATATTTTGATGTATGAGTACGTCAGCCGAGAATTATCTTATACGTGCAACTTCTTCACGGTTTATGCAATATTTTCAAGTTAAAATTTTTTATATCAGGATTTTTATGTTATTATAAATATTTTCAAGTTAAAATTTTCCAATGATTTACCATTCGTAATAAGATGTTCTCAATAGACGAAACTTGAGTAGTATCTAGCCACAATTTTTCGCATATCAATCAAAACTCCAAGAAACTTATGAAAACTGTATTTGTTTGTATGTGATTAATTAAAATTTTTGTCAAAGCATTTAAATGTAATAAATTAGTTTCTATTGACAGAACACGAACTAATAGATGGTGGCTCATGCGTCATTGGCCGCCATCAACGCTAGGGTAATTATATCCTCAGAATTATGTACAGTTATTATCAATACAAGGAATTTGGCGGTAAACGGTCTTGCCTTCGCTTTTCTCACTGGAAAAAAATTGGAATGGTTTACTTAATTTATTTCAAATCAGTTAATACTAATCTTTGCATATGACGAGGTACTGATTATTTAAAAAAAGTACAGTTGTACGTTCACTTTTTGAATGGTCTAGATGAAAATAATAATTGCTTTAAGGTACTATTCGCAGAATAACCCCATGGCTGCAATGCTTGCTGCAAAGCCATTGCAAATCAAAACAAACTGGCGTTCTCTGCTTGATCCCTAACAAAATTTAGAGCCGAAGGCGGCTCTGTATTAAGGAACGCCTAGGACTCAGGGAGCATATTCCACTAGCTTCCCTATGTCCGCTTTTCGGTCTACATTCCAGTCCCCGAATCAGACAGCTACAAGCGCCTGGTACCTATTCTGCCAACTCTTGCCCTACTCTCCGGATACTATAAAGTCGGCAAGGAGGTTCTGACCAGTCGCTGATTGCGATCAGTTGGTCAACTGATCCAGAATAACTCTTACGCGAACTTAGCAACTCTGGGGCAGAGGCTGAAGCATACCCCGAATTTTGTTAGGGATTTACCACGAAACAAAAATTTTCATCGAATTTTTTTAATTGCAACCGCAGCATTTACTTCAAGTTCGTTCACTATTTCCACTTCGAACCAATCTTCTCGAGGCTGGGTCGAGATTCACTTCTTATATTGTTGCCTTAATGGCTGTTACGTATGCCACTTCTTTGAAAAGAGCCTGTGGCATTATTCTTCTACAGGGGTCAGTAGCTCGGGCGATATCGACCTCATGGGGTCGAAGACGGAACTTAAAGGGTCAATAAATTGGTACAGGGTCGAAAAGCGGTCAATCAAGGAAAATAAAAAAATATATATATTTTGAGCTTTCAGAAACGGATATGTTTGTGGAAAAATTCAAAACTTGTTCAAATTTAAATCTACGAATCAAAAAAGCAATGAAACTTCGAGATATGAAGCAATGAAGCAATGAAACTTCGAGATTTGTCTTATGTCCTAGAAGCGAATTTGAACGAACGAGCTATTAGCGCGTTCGAAAGTGGCTCAGTCTCGTTTGCGGGTACCCACAAGATGGGAAACCTTCTTGTTTCCCGCAATCTCCCATTGTACCTGTGCCGGTTTCGTGCTGTTTTTTTATTAGTGTTTGAAACTTGCACTGTTTTTTGCACAAAGACTTAATTACAATACTAACTGTTGTCAATAACAATGTTGAGAAGAAATTTAAACAATATTATCCTGAGGATTTGAGATATGAATTTGTACCGTCACTTGCCAACGAAACCGGGCCCACGTATCTGTCTTGTGAAATACTAGTAGCAATGATGATGCTATGAAAGTTGCTAAATATAAAGCCATTCAGCAAGGATCCATTCCTTTATTTCTGCTACTCTTCAGAGAAAGAACAGCTTGTGAAAAGTTCAAATCACTATAAACTATGATCACCACATTGCAGGTTGCGTACTATCGCAGGGTTGCATGACTGGTTGCATGAAGAGCTGATTGACGTTGTACAAGGTTTTCGTGGTCAAGCATTCTTCGCACCGCCTAATAATACCTGATTTTAGCTGGTATAAGTAGACTTATGTAACTTATTTTGCTGAAAACACGCCTATGAAAAAAACACGCCTAAATTATCACATATCTCATTCCGTGCAAAATTCTCTAAAAATATGATTTTGCTGCTTACAATAATATTGTCGTGAAATTCGCAATCATGCACCGATGGATACAGTCATGGTTCTCCAGTCGTTGCTGATACAAGTTTCACATTGTTCTGATTGACGAAAAAACTTTCGTTTTTAACCTCCTTGCCATTTTGGGTGAAAACCAAAGGACTGTCAGGAGCTGTCAATGCCCTTGCACTGGCTCTGTTCTTGAAAGTTCCATTTGTGTTCCGCGTATGGCTGAAGACGGCTGCAGAGGCGTTAGAAGATGTAACCACTGTACTTCCAGTCACAACCGAAAAGAAAGCCGACCATTGACGCCGAACTGAACGCTCTCGACAAACGTGGAACACGAAAATAAAAAATCCTTGCAAAGTATTGAATATCGTAAACAAGTATGGAAAAACTGCCCCTCCACCTGTTATGGTCAAAAGACCAAAGATCCATGTAAATCCGAGTAAAAAGAAGACGCACACGGCCATGCTCAGCTGGTTGATCATGAGATTTCGATCAGACATGTTGGATGCTATTTTGGGTCTCTGGCACGCCGCTCCGTTGATTATTAGGATATACAATACCAAATTTATGGAGAGAGTAAGCACGAGAGGAGGTAAGAAGCCATACTTGAATCCTGTTGGGGAAATCCAGCAAATGAGGGTACCTAGGCTGTACTGGTCCCGACTGTCGTACAAAGCGCTGTCGTAAACCAGCATGCATACTATTGGTATGACAGGAAGACCCCAAGCACACATGGAAGCTTTCCAGAGGAATCTAGGAATGTAAATAGCAAAAACTTTAACAAACTTAAGGTACTGGTGGACTCCTTCTACCAACATCCAACCGAACGAGGCAAGAATAAAATAGTGGAGAGACACGGCAACGCTTCGGCAAAGTATCAAGTTCTGAGTTTGATTGATCCCAGCTAGAAAAATTACCATGCTAAAAAACACTGCAATCGATAAGTTGACCAATATCTTGTTTGTCAATGATCGCCGCCATTTTTTAAACAAGCAAAATGTAAGGAAAACCATCAGCAAACCGAAAATAGAGAGAAGTCCACCGATGGTTGTGAGATAGGATAATATTATGGCATGTTTTTGGTCGAGCTCTATATTATTGAAATTTATAAGAAGCGCAAAGTTAGTAAGATGATTACAAAAACACGTTGTTAGGTTGGAGATTTCACTAGATTTAATGCAACCATCCTGCGACCAGCCTCCTTTTCTACCATTCTTATTGAAGTCCCAAAAAACACAAATTGTATCGTTGCTTTCAAGCAATGGTTTAAATGAGACCACGACAGGCTGCTCCAAATCTCGTACTTCATAGTCTTTATATGTGGCCTGGATCACGTAGCTATTTAGGGTGTGCTGGGAGTAATCACTGTCGTCTCCCACAAAGAGACTTCCGTCTCGATAAACCATGAATGCCAAATTTACTCGTGTTTTGCTTCCGTTGTCGCGGACTTGGCTCAGGACTCTATTCGTAAGGTGGTTTGGTAAAACAATTTTAGCCATCACCCCATCATTTTTACTTTCATCAAAACCTGAACTTAGAGTTCTTGTTTCACTTTTACCGTTGATTTTTATATCCATATATCCAGTTATTGGCGAGTCAGAAGACAGGGCTAGACGTTTCACAGAAACCAATGGCTCGGATGCCTCTTTAAATATATCGTGACTAGAATCGTCCAGGCTCACTTTGAACGTCAGTTCTTCAATGGATTCCAAAAAGACATTAGTTGTGTTCAGACGATCATGCAAGTCTCGGAAAATATCATTCGAAGCCCTTAAAACACTGTCTACAGTTGAGACCAAGTCTTCCAGCTGGAGTTCATGTGAGTGATTCCTGTTCAGAGGACGTTGCGCGGCGCTTTGGAGCGCCAAGGCAGCGTAATGGACATCCGCGGCAATAAGACCTCTTGCATTCTTCGTTAAACGTGATAAGTTTGCCAAGTTGTGCAGCGTACTATTATTTTTTAACTCGTGTAGTAGTTTAGTTGTTGTCGATAGTGATCCTGAGCAAACTCCTGACAGAACATCACTCCAAAAATAGCCTTCTTGGAAACCTCCGAGGCAAGCTCGACTAACTGGACTACCATTTTCGTCTACGCATAGTTCTATAGGGAGGAACTCTCCCGGATTGTCCGTTTCCATGAAACTCAAATATTGTCCTGACCCGGACTCAAAATAAACGTCGTTAGGACATCCAATTATCGGACGGACCTCCACAACCTCGCAGTTTTTGTATTCTTCACTTACTGTTTGGAGTCTCTGGAGTATGTATGAGTGATCTGTTTTGTAGGCTGGTGATATCGCGCTGACGAAAAGATGCACGTTCTCGTATTTACCGGTAACAGATCCATCGGGAGATGAAAACATGCGGTTTGTTGATGTGTGCAAGCCAGATTCTAGCTCAGGGTCCATTTGCAATTTTGCAGCCAGGCAATCATTATACTTGGCTTCATTAGAAACGAAAGTGTTGTCATCTTCCGAAGAATTGTAAGCGGATTCTGAGGAATGTACCTTAACTGCGAACGCGTGCACGTTTTCCGGGTAACGCTTTAAAAATGTATTGGATTTCACCCACCTCGTAGGATTAGCAGCCCAAGCATAACAGTCGAAATAACCATACTTCGCAAACTCGGGTGCTTGTACTGTTCCGACCATTTGTACAGAAGACGAAAATGAAACAGGTCTTAGATATCCATTCACGAAGCATTTCAAAGATCCAACTATCACATTCTTCATCATAGTGATTTCTACATCAAATGGTTCTTTGTTTGAGAGGGAAAGTGAGAGGACAGGTGTCTCTGTTCTCGTTTCACGTATTTCGCAAAGGAGTCCGGGAGAGCCTTGGATACTGCTGTTGACGAGCCGCCATCCATTTCTCTCAATTATTCCATCAGTTTTTCGGAAGTCAGGATCAGGGATCCAGTTGTAATATTGTATTTCAGGATCGTCTTCAGTGCCTATTAAGATTCCTGAAGACATATAAACAAACTGGAAATGAAAGTCCGCCAAAAGTTTCTTGTAGACCCAGTTCATGAATCCAATCCACGGTTTTGGTAGCTGTGCTCCAATGCTAGAACAACGTCTGTGAGCATCTTCGAAATTAGAAGGAGTTGCGTTCATTGGTACTATGCACGTGAAGCGACCAGTGTCGTATACAGGAGCTAATGAAGGCTCATGGCGCATATTACATTGAGGAGAACTCGTTACAAGTCCTAGTTCTTCTGCAGAGAGCCGTGATGTGAGACCATCAACAAGTTCTGTAATGTTCACCATCGTTAAGTAAGGAAGGGAATCATTACAGGAAAGAGTGAATAACTGCCTAGAAATGAAATCAACACCTGTGCATTCCTTCTCAAACATTGGATGACCTGGAGCCCAAGACAAATTGTTGTTGAGTTGAATGTTGTTTTTAGCTGACTTGAGGGAAACCAGAGGACCAAATTTGTTTATCCTTTTGAGCGACACCCAAGAAATGGTTTGACCCGATTTCTCATGCAGGATCTTTGTAAGTAAACCATAAAAAGTAGAAGCATCGACCTTCGTGAGCTCTGCGTCTACTATATCATTCTCTTTGCCTGTCACGTAAGCATTTTCAAAGGCTTGAGCCCAAGATGCCGAGGCTACGACGGCCACACAAAGATCAGTCAAGATGTTAGTGTAACCCCGAGGGCAGGCATCGAATCTTAGGCATTCGTGCGCTGGAGGAGGAATTATTTTAGCTCCGTGATTGAAGTCTGGAGTGCATATTCCTGGAATGGGCCTGCCATTCTTTGCCTGGCATTGCATTCGTTCTGGATAGACTGGGCCTGCTTGAGTGAAAGGCCAAGTTATAGTATTGTGGCGTGAGTCGATATGACGTTCCCTTATACAGGCAATAGCCAGTTTAATGGAAGAACCAGGAAAACTTTTTTCCAAGATATTATTCAGGCGAGTCATTCTAATATCCATTGCCATTTCAGAAGATATTTTTGCGTACAGATGAAACTTATACAACAAGCTCGGTAATTCTGATCCACTTGAGTAATTCTCAATTACAATAAGATCTTTCGGCATTTCGTCCAGGAAGGGAAATTCATGTTTATAAATGCCTCCCACAATGTTGAGTAGGCGTTCTGGATCGGCTGTCGAATCTGGTGTGAAAACATTCAGGATGTAGGTTTTCCATTCTCTCAGTGTGAGCAACACTTCATTGCTCTTAATTGTGTCGTTCCCGTGAAGACTCCATGACTCACACGAGTATGTCCCTTGTCTGACGGGCATCATATCCACGCCGGGGCCGGTCACGGGAAGAAGTCTGGACTTGCTGGGGTCGTGCACCGTCGACGGATGGATAGTACTTGAGTTCATTCCCAAGTACACGTAATCCTAGAATAGCAAAAAAATATATAACTCAGTACTCACTGCAGTGAGTGACAGAGAGCATATTTTCACGAAAACTTGAGGTCACGGACAGACGGACGGACAGACAGACGGACAGACAGACGGACGGACATGGCGAGCACAATAGTGCATTTTTGCCATAAATGAGAAAATGCGCTAAAAAAATCTAAACCATCTACCCTAACAAAATTTAGAGTCGCCCCAGCTCCTGGTAATCCAAATCAGAAGCTGACGCGTCTGTAAATTTTCACTGGGATATATCTTACTACATGTTCCGTTGAAATAGCACTGCGGATAAGTTTTGTCCGAATTAAGTCACTTGTATCTTTAAAAAGCTTATGAATTATTGTCTACATTGATGTATTTTCCAAATATCGAGTTTTTGTTTAGTTGTGCTAGTTATAGTTTTCAAAATTTCCAAGGCTGTCTAATCTACTCTAAGCAATTGCCTAAGTTTTATACGTGTTTCACATGTGCATTTTGCCAAAACGGGGAAACTAAATGAGAAATGTGATATCAAATATGATTAACTGTGAAAAAAATCCACGAATAGGTAGGGGGGACCTCAAATTTTGAAAAATTTTGAAACTGAAAAGTTATACCTCCACTTTCCTTACATTAATTCCGTACCTTCTTCCAGAAGACGTTCCAGTTCATAGGTACTATTTTCTCGCCGCTGCTTTTGTTATAGAGGTCGCATGACAGAGTGAGTTTCAGAAATTCTTCAGAAGAGACGGCCATCCAATCCAAGGTCTGGACACTCGAAGAAACACGCAGCTCCATCTCGCTGACATCTCCTGCAGCCTCTGATGACACAAGAAAATATGTGAATATTATACCAGACGCAATAAGTTACACGGAATTCATTCGTAATGGTTAATGGTTGACATAAGTATATTGATTAAAACTCATCTTCTTATCTGGAAAAAATACTGCATTACTATGGATTATGAGTTGCTCATACGGGCAGCGTTAATTCATTGTATTTTCATTGCCATTCTAGCAGTTTAACTATTCTGGTCCTATCATTGTCGCCTCACATTTCAGGCAGGTATTTCTCACCATTAAGGTGATACCAGGATGGCTGCACTATGCATGCAAAAGTCAGCTCCTCAGCACATGATGATGAGCGATATTCGACCTCGACACTGTACACCGACAGCGCTGGACATCGGGACGAGTGTGGCTCTGTAACATCTTCATCTGTTGCCCAGCTCACGAACGATGCAATGCCTAGGTAGTGTCAGTGAATTTTGTTAGTCTGAGATGAACAAAACTTTAGACAAAACTCAGGTGACACAAGATCGGGTGCTAATTCATGAGATTACTTTTGAAATGGATCAAATAAATTATATGCATGCTAGGGTATCATTAAAAACAAAAGGGTCTTGCGTAAGCTTTTTGAGAAGAATTCATTTGGGCGAAATTTCCTTCTAATAGTCGAAAAATATGCACATTGCATTGCTTTCAGAAGCATTTTACTTGCTACCATGTTTGCGGAAGTGAGTTGCCAAAATCCACAGGGCACAAGGTAATGCTACTAACTCTGCTGCAGTCAATAAAAAATATAACTCAGCACTCACTGCAGTGAGTGACAGAGAGCGCATTTTCTCGTCGACGAAAAAGTGAAGTCACGGACGGACAGACAGACGGACAGACAGACGGACATGGCGAGCAGAATAGTGCATTTTTTCATAAATACGTGTGCGATTAACGACCAGAGAAATAGTTGATTTGAATTATCAAAGTCGGACAATTCTTCAGATGACGTTGGTAGATCGAAAGGAATATATCAGGAAGTAGTTTTAGTTTATTAACGACGTTTCGAATGTAACTAACATTCATTTTCAAGTTACAAAGAGCATTAAATATCAAAATTCTGGTGGAAATAAGTACATAACACATGTAAATAGGATACTATAGTAAAATTTTGAATCAGAAAATCACTCTGAAATCATTTCAAAGTTCAGCCAAATCCGGTAGTTAAGAAAGAGGTAGCAGGCGTCCAATTCGTAGAGACGATGCGGCTAGCCATCTTCGGTCGATTGATCTCAGGCCACTGCTTGCATGATGACCATGCTGGCGGGTTCCCTAAGCACTAAGCGAGTGACGGTCTGGTTGTGAGATTGTCGCGTGTGGTTCACTTGCCCTCCGGGTTGGAGGTAGCTAATGAGACAGCGTCTCGGTGTCTTGGTTGTTGATCCGAAGTGTCCGATGCAGTCCAAAAGATGAAGAAGTCTAATGAATCAAAACTGGCTCCGTGACAACCTTGACAACAACGTCAAACCCTGGACCATACCGAGCAATGGCAAATGCAAAAAAGTGGAAATTCTCCAAGAGGCCGGTGTAATCTGTAAATTTTGCTTCAAAGAAGGTTGTAGACTTCTTCATTATTTGGATTGCATTCGGGTAATTGCAGTAACGACTACGACATTGAACTGCCGTTTCTCCTACCATCTGAGACAAGCTCACAACCAGACCAGGTCTCAAAGTATTACAAAGAAGCGACTTCATTAACAGTCTTCGTGAAAACATTATCAAACTCCGAACTAAACGCGATAATGGCCTTCGCAAAAACTCGGGAGTTGTCCGAGAGGCCGTTGTGGTCTATAAATTTTGCTTCAAAGAAGGTTGTAGACTTCTTCATCTTTTGGACTGCATCGGACACTTCGGATCAACAACCAAGACACCGAGACGCTGTCTCATTAGCTACCTCCAACCCGGAGGGCAAGTGAACCACACGCGACAATCTCACAACCAGACCGTCACTCGCTTAGTGCTTAGGGAACCCGCCAGCATGGTCATCATGCAAGCAGTGGCCTGAGATCAATCGACCGAAGATGGCTAGCCGCATCGTCTCTACGAATTGGACGCCTGCTACCTCTTTCTTAACTACCGGATTTGGCTGAACTTTGAAATGATTTCAGAGTGATTTTCTGATTCAAAATTTTACTATAGTATCCTATTTACATGTGTTATGTACTTATTTCCACCAGAATTTTGATATTTAATGCTCTTTGTAACTTGAAAATGAATGTTAGTTACATTCGAAACGTCGTTAATAAACTAAAACTACTTCCTGATATATTCCTTTCGATCTACCAACGTCATCTGAAGAATTGTCCGACTTTGATAATTCAAATCAACTATTTCTCTGGTCGTTAATCGCACACGTATAAATCAACAAATTCTGCCATCTAAAACTAATTTTTCATAAATGAGAAGATGCGCTAAAAAGGCGGTGCGTGCGTGCAGAGTGTGTTTTCTGATGCCCTGATATGGATCGCTCCATGCAGTATCGCAATCTTTGCCATATATTTAAACCGTACCGTGTCATTTCGAGACATTCATGCTGAATAATCAAAGGATTGAATTTTCAACCGGTTTTTTCGTTGATAAGCTGAAATAGTTAATTAAGACGTATGGCGTTGGAAAAACTGTGTGTAAACATCCTGCCTGACAGAGATAATGCACGACCCAGCATGTTGAGTAAAAAGAGTCACGTAAACATGTAGTATTTTGTGCATGCTTTAACCTAGGTAAAAACAGCTATATTTCGCATAGCGTTATAATGTTATCTCGTAGAAATGAGGCACTCAGAATCAGTGGCATTGGCATTGTCACGTATCTATGTGATCTCCTCATATCTATGTGATCTATGTGATCTCCTTCCTCAAGACCGAGCTTTAAAACTAATAGTTTATATTCATTTTCTCCAAGTGATAGCAACGAAATATTGCATGGATTGAAGAATACTTGTATCAAGTCTCTTTTTGGAGCCTTCCAATTGTGAATGAAGTGTTTTTTACGTGCCTAAAAAGTTCAACTGTGAAATTGAGCAGTACTTCATGCCGCGAGTCAGCACATGGATCACGCCAACATTATTGGCACGTAAACTCACAGACCGCGTCAACATTATTGGCACGTGGAGTGAAGGGTAGCAGAACTTTAACCTTGTAGATCAAATGAGCACGCAAAGGTAATATATCATTTACGTTATTATCAGGTAATCTAATAAATTTCCAACGTGACAAAAACATGGCAGGAAATGCATATATAAATTCCGACAATCAGCAGTACGATATTCAAAACTCAAACTCAATGAACTGATTCCACTATCAGATCTTTAGTAGAAAATGAAGCTCAAAAGGATTGGATGGCGGTTTAAGAGCAAAACTTAAACTCGTTCATTTAAAAGCTTGTCGCTTCCTTGAACTCAAGAGTTGTCTATAATTGCCATCTCTGATAGTTTGTCCGCAGTTGATTTTATCGTTCATGTAACTTGCCGAATTTCTGACATGCTCGTGGACACGTTTTCGGCAGCAACATTAAGGTGAATTATCCTATCAGGAACTGGAACGCAGGATATCCCGCGACATTGTCCCTGTGGTTTGATCTATTCATGTCATGACGACAGCCGACAAATCGTTTGAAAACTATAATAAAACTGAAGATTGATTAGCCCCACGAGTGTAATTCGGAAGCGAACATAAATAATTGTTTGCTAAACTCCGTTCATTGTGAATACATCAATGCAGATTCAAAATATCAACAAAATTTTTCAAGACAGGTGGCTAAAACGGCGTGGAGAACTGAATAAAAGGTTCAGAAGTTGATTGACACTAACATATGTTGTGATAGTAGTGAAAATATGTTTTGTGAGCAGAAAACACATATTTTGATTGCAATTAAAATATGTTTGGATTGCAATGAACGTATGTCATGATTGCAGTGAACTATGTAATGATTGCAGTGAACTATGTGATGATTGCAGTGAGCATATATCTTTATTGCAAAAAATATATATTTTTACTGCAGGGAATATGCAGGGTTTGACAAAATAAGAAAATACCAAACATTATTTTTGAACATTTTATATACAATGAAAACTTGGCATATTTTACAGTTTATTTTTTAGAATATTTTTGGGCTCTATAACCGCAAAAAATTGCAAACCTTTCTGATTTTCAGACTAGCAATTTACTATTTGTATGAATCAATACCTCAGAGAATTGAGGCCGTGATTGCCGCAAAAAGTGGAGCTATACCACAACAAAATATTTTTTGTGGATTTTTAAGGTTTTCTCCTTATTTTGTCTAACCCTTGTATATTTTTATAGTAGTGAGTATATCTTTTAATTACTGTGAACACATATTTTGGCAGCAGTGAAAATATGATAAGATTACAGTAAATAATGCAGTGAACATATATTTTAATTTCGGTGAAAATTAATTGAACTGAGCAGTTCAATGGTTGAAGTGATCGTTATGATTGCAGTGAACATATGATAAGAAAGCAGTGAACGTATGAAAGGATTGCAGTGTACATACCCTATAATTGCAGATAACATAGATTGTGATTATAATGGATGTATATTTTGACTACAGCGAACATAGATTTTGATTGCAGGGAACATATTTTTCCCAATTCAGTTTAGACATGTCTTGAATACATCACATACATCTTGATTACAGTGAAGATATGTAATTAATGATTGCAGTGAGCGTGTGTTGTGATTGCAGTGAACAAATATTTTGATTACAGTGCTCAAAGGCTATAATTAAAGTAAACGTATGTAATGATTGCAGTAAGCATATGTTATGATTATAGTAAACAAAAATATTTTTATATCGATAAGTTACACTTACGTGGCACCTGCGAGATCCTCTGGTAATGCCCTCGATGGTTCGTAAGGCTGGTCCACACCAGAGAACTTCTGTTCACCATCACAGTTTGCAGGTACTCGCGAACTCTCATTATTTGGCCGTCGGATCCTGTGACATTTACATTTACTGTAATGCTTGAAAAACAAACCGGTTTGATGCCTCATATGATCAAATATGGCTCATCTACAACCGAAAAACATTATGCAGCTTGTATGTTCTACAATCTACATAATGAGTTCAGGAGTAACAATGTATAGTACAAACTTTGAATGCAGGAGGTTTAAGAAAGTCCTATCAAATTTACTGATATGCAAAATTAACAATTTAGTCATCAACTTTGCCTTTTCGATGGTCGCTCTCACCTTCTGTTTGCCGCTGCACGACGTCGTCGTCGAAGAGGAAACCGCCCTGCTGGCGACAGTGCCTGTGAGCGGCAGCCCAGCTCTGGAGGGAGAATAGATTTATTTTAATGATATTTACAGCACTGTGATGTTAAATGAACTTCAAAGTCATTTATCAGCGAAATGTTTAGAAAACAAGCATTAAAATATAAGATTATTTGTTTGGAGGATATAGTAATTATGAGAATTGCCAAATGCACAGCTAGTGCAATTGAAGAATAACTAGCTTGAAGTGAAGTGTCTTTCGGTGTTTTCGGTGTAAAATTGTAAAATATATATTAGCATAGCATAGCATAGCATAGTGAAGTCGGCGCTGAAGAATAGACCTGATATGGCCTGTCGCCGATTCTTGTACTTTTCGTGACTTGTCCATATAGTAGGAGATCTAAAAACAGGTCCTTCTTCCAGATCTTTTCCAAACTGTCGATAGTTTGAAATATTTACTAGACTTCCACCGGGCTCGATATGGTGCTAGTCACTTTAAGTCTGAACATATATTTCTCCATAGCTTTATCTAGTCTGTTCTTGAACGCGTTATATTAAAATAATTGCATGAATTTTGATTACACAGTATGTCAATGGTGAAGCATTGTTCAACTTTTGTCCCTGTCAAAATTGTGCGAAAAAGTTGTGAAAGCTAAAAAAAAACGATGTGCACAAAATTTTTGGTCATAGGTTAATTCCTTCATGACTCGTGAGTCCAGTGAAAATGTGAAAAGTCTGAAAAAAAACTCATACAAAAAAAAATTAAAATAAGAAGCACGTCATTCTCAGATGCCACAACAGGTAAAAATATTCACCATTAAATCGTCGTCTCTAGAATACATGTTCCCAGTTTCAATGCTTTATCTTGTCATTTTCGTTATTCGAGGGTCATAAAAAATTATGAAATACGAAGTAAAAACATATGTTTGAAAATTGCCCTCAAAATAAATTTTGGTAATCTAAGATTCGCAATTGTCAAAAACCATCGTTGTCTCTAGGATAAATGCTTCAATTTCCAAAGCTTGGTATTATCATCTTCATGTCCAAGTGTAACTCTAAATATGGCTAATTTCATTTAATTGTTACTAAGAAACTATGCTACAGTTGCTTGGAATTGTTGTTTGAGGTTCAGGGGAAAATTTTCAACGCTGCTAGTTCATTAGCGCATTTTCTCATTTATGGAAAAAATGCCCTATTGTGCTCGTCATGTGCGTCCGTCTGTCTGTCTGTCCGTCCGTGACATCACGTTTTCGTCGACGAGAAAATGCGCTCTCTGTCACTCACTGCAGTGAGCACTGATGAGTTTTATTTTTTTTTATTTATTGCGATAGTATCGCACAGGAGACTAAATATTCCTTAAGTCACAACGAGGAGTTGGATGTACGTTCTGATTTGCCCATCCCACCACCAAATAGATGGGCTATTCATTATGATGAATAATCTCTCATGCTTTCAGACCTGGAAAGTGTTTTCCGCCCTTATAATTTACTTTGTATTGGAACAAAAAGACTAGCATTCCTGCATCAATCATTAATTAAGGAGAATAGTTCCTTATTAAATTGAATATCTCACCTTTTTTGCACGCGGCCATAACAAGCATGGATAGCCGTGGCCTGTGACGTCACAACTTTGCAGGGGCGCTAGGGGTGCTGTGGACTTCACTGCATTCCTAGGCTTCCTGCGGCCTCCGCTGTGGCGCAAGGACGCAGTAATGGTGGCAGTCGATGACGCATTAGCGGTGGCAGTCGATGACGCATTAGAGGTGGCAGTTGATGACGCAGTAGCGGCAGCAGACGACAGTAACTCAAAAACCAATTCCCCTCCGCGGGAAGCAAAATTGCCTCTACTCGAAAATTCACGTTTCGCGGCCGATTGACTGGTATCTATATTGTTGGTCGGAGGATTTTCTAAATTCATTAAAACCTCACGGGATCGTAAAAGTTGATTTTCTTTTATAGATGCATTTAGATTTCCCGATATGAAATTTATTGCAGGCTGATGGTGGTGGTTCAAATTAAAATGATCGTTAGCTACATCTTTCAGATTCAGAGAGTTTGTATTTTCACCCCATGCTGGCTTTGAAAACTGGAATAGGCACAAAAAACGGAGAAGATTTATTTTCAATAGTTTCCAGCTTAAACGCATAATGTTCAGGGAATGTTAGATTGTTTCCCCGCTATGAACTTGGCTAGTGGCAGTTCTGGATCTGCAGCTCCCGATTTTTTCTTCACCTGAGAAAAAAATCAACAGCTTAACTGGTGTTTTTATGCGATGAATATGGTTAAGGATGAATGATGAATGTTCGTTGATACTTTAAGATGAACATGACGATTTTAATTTAGATTAATTTTGAATTGTTAACATTCGGTTGAATAAAAGTGATATTACTGCTACTGAAGTAATTTGAATAATGTTTATAGTGACCCAAACCATTCTGCAATAGCCGGAGCTCGAATAAAGTAATTGGATAAATAATTTCTTGACTTTGAAAAGTAACTCAAAAAAATTTCCTATTCCTTCAAATATCAGTTTTCTCAAAATTAATTAACCAGAGTTCTAAAATAATTTTTCATTCATTACCGAAATGCTCATATACGTATTAGTTGAACATAATTTTTGTTATTTACTGATTCCACCTTATGTGAATTTGTCTTCGGTATATTTTTATTTTCATCAGTGCTAACGTCTTAAAACTTATACACCCGTTGAATCTAAATCCGTGACCTTATTCCTATTACATAATTACAAAATACTATTTTTTAAAATGCACAAATTGTATCAACATTCGGAAGCGTAAAGCAACACCAACGAGTTACCTGAAGATGCAGCTGAGCGCTGTTCAACACTGGCGCTAGCTGACGCGGGTTGCCGACACATGCACGCCCCTGGCCGGACATGGCTCGCGAGATAAGGCCCGACGGTAGCGGCGACGCGTAATGCAGCTCCTGTGTGAAGGGTAAAAGGCGAACAATCTTTAAAATGCAGTCCTTCAGTTATTGAACTCACCAGGTTTTCCCAATGACTGGCGAGCCTTCAAAGAAATGAGGTCATTCATCAACTGGCCAAACTTACATCAACTGACCAAACTTACATCCACTGACCAAGCTTACATAAACTGACCAAACTTACATCAACTGACCAACCTTATATCAACTAACCAAACTTATATCAACTGACTAAACTTACATCAACTGACCAAACTTACATATCAAATGACCAAACTTACATCAACTGACCAAACTTACATCAACTGACCAAACTTACATCTACTGACCAAACTTACATCAACTGACCAAACTTACATCAACTGACCAAACTTATGTCAAGTGACCAAACTTACATCAACTGACCAAAATTACATCAACAAACCAAAAAGTTACTTTTATCGCACATCACGTGCTTTTTGAACCCCCGGATATGGTAGTCAACCTCATGGTCATTCTTTCTGTGAGAACTAGAATATGTTTGTGTACTTTGCTTTACAGGGGATTGACACGTACGCTGTCGGTCACATCATCAATGAGTGAACAACCGTGAACCGCATGTGTGACTCAGGGCAGTCCTGCGAGTGGGAAATAATAACTCACTTACTTATAAATTTAGGAAAAGAGTAACAATGCCCATTATTTTCATAGTTGGGGTGTTAAATGAAATTTGAGAGAATTTTCATTCATCACCTCAAGTCTTTTTTGTCTCGTGTGCATTTTGTGCATAAACGATACATAGAGGAGGATATGAATTTAATGTTTAAAATACAATACATAGTGGCCAGAAGGATGAATGAGAAATGAAAAGGGTAGAAAATTACGGATAACGCTCTTCATGCATTTGCAGGAATGGCGTTCATTTTCAAGTGACGAATATTAAGTGCAGCATGTTTCATCCTGCACGTGTATCTTGTCGTGCGTTTACAGTAGAAAAGTGGGGAAAAGGGCCAGAATGGTCATAATTAGGAAGGATAAATTGAGAAAGACAGGAAAAGAAAAAGGTGAATATCGCATAAATAAAATAAATAACATAGTCCATTGCTTGATTGTAAGTGTGGGGGATTTGGTTGGGATTGGGGAGAGGAGGATCCTATCATGGCTAATTGATGGTTTACACGGTGAGACGGAAGGGTTAATTGTAGTTCGATATATGCAGTATTTGCATATTTAAGTATTTTGCAATATGGAGATGTCGATACGCTATATTTACAGCCGTCTCATTGTTTTCCCTTTGATTTCTATTGTTTTGAATGAATATTTCACAAAGTATGATATTGCTGGGGGACTACTACTTTATCACTATCTCAAAAGGTCATGAAAGGGTTCCCGTTCTGATAAAACACTGAGTATTCATATATATTTAGTACAACATGTCTGTAAAATTGCGTTGTGCCCCTGTAGTTCTTACCAGTGGTTACCTAAAACATGAATAAATAAGATATGAAAGTATGCAGAACCTAAATTGCGGAACGGATAAGTCTAATGAAAACGGAATAATTGTTACCGAGAAATATGGATAAATTTATACTATTCCCTAACAATATGATGGGGGATAATGGTGAGGGTGATTACGATGATATGGTGATGATGGTGAAGATGACTACACGATAACGGTGACGACGATTACGATGATAAGGTGAATGCTATGCTTGAGTTGTTCGAGACCCAGGAGGTAGGTCTGGGAAGTAAGTTGTGGGTTTTCGTTAGATCATCAGTCTCGTCTTTACCGTAAGTTGCTCTCATCGGTGAATTTCGTCGGTCCGCAGTCGTAATCGGGACAACTATTTCCTTAACAAAATTTAGAGGCGTGAGCTACCCTGCATTAGCATTACCCTGCATTACCCGATTCCATTACCCTGCCTTGGAATCGGATCGCACGTAAATCAGCTTCTTTATGTCCGCTTCGGCTCAGATTTCGAAGGGCAGCCTCTGGGCAGCCCTTTGCTAGCTCGGTATGACTCGGCTCGGCCAACCCATGTCACAATCTCAAGCGACCATAAAGTCAGACAAGAGATTCTGACCAGAAACTGATTTCGATCGGGTGGCCAAGCAGGCATAGAATAACTTTGCGCCGAGTGTAATGACTATTCGGCTGAAGCCAATAGCGCTCTCCTAATTTTGTTAGGTTACAGCTGGGCGCGTCCATTCTGTAACTGAAGACAAGTGCAGATTGCCACTTATGTGTGTGGTTGGGGTGTGGGGGTAATTAGTGGTTGTGTATACGTGTATGCTGTACAAGGGTAGGCATGGGGGACCTGATACTAGTAGTTTGGTGAATATAATTTTTTGGAGGGAATAAAAGTTGGTTGATCTGCTGGGGGTCGAAGGTTTTAATTGTGGACCATATTTTTTCGCGCTGGTTGATGGAGGACTGTGTTTATGGCATGGATCTCGCAATAATCACGTAGTGCACGTTTTTGATGATGTGAAGTCGTAAAGAGGGTAAGAAGTTTTTGAGCATACAAAGCTTTGGCTTAGGAATCAGAAAGCAGAACGTTTTTTAATGATTTCTTCAGTCCCAGTGTTAAATTTTTGTAAAAATTATTTCCAAATTAAAAATACAAATGCAATGAACAATTATAAACATTAAAATTAATTCAAGTTATTAGACATGATCAAAATAGCAATTCCTGTACCCGAGAGTTTACTCTTTTAGGAGTTTATTGCACAATAAATCAGATATGCCAAGAGTTAGTTAACAAAAACAACGTTAACGAAGTTGTGTTCAATGGTGACGTTCACCTTGGAACCTAAATTTAATTCAATAATCATTCCTGAACGAATCATTTATATCGCTACTTATTTATAATAATTAATTTAGGTCTACAGTCATACTATGCAGTGGGTGTCTGCAATGAATGGTAATGCTTGGTTTTGGAATTTTTATGTTTAGATAGGTAGCTTTTTGAGAGGGTATGAGGTGTTTGGGGATATATGAGTGCTGATTAGACAAACGTGAGATTCAGAGTGCGCTTAATGTTGTTAGAGAAATGGTAGAATATGTGTTTTTAGGAAATTCGTAGAGGCTATTGCTTTTCATGCTATGTGATGTTCAAATACGACGACTCAAATTTACTTCGATCATTATACTAATGCTGCAACCATGCCTCGAAAAAACATAAATATATACCGAATAAACACTATTTATTAAATGAATGCACAAGGTGATAAACAGCAGCTTAATTCTTCAAAATAAATATCAGCAGTCGCACAGCAACTAAAGTCCATTCGGCAGAATGGTCCGCAGTTCAACAGAAGTTGGTCTTTAATGCAGGTTTCATTGAAAACCGGAGAGTATTTATGTATGGGAAAAGTTTTTTGTTGCAAAACTCTTCCCCTACCTGATAATGAATGTGCATTCGAAACGTCGCATAAATTATAATAAAATGTCCCTTGGAAACCTTATATTTGAATTTTCAAGTCCTATCAAAAACTTAATTCGCCGAATAGAGAAAAACAATAAGGAAATTGTCAATACGAAATACTCTCTGGCCTTCAATAAAACCTGCAATATATGAAGGCGCACAGAAATGAATGTAGAAATTAGTATTAGAAGGCAAAATTAGCTTGTTTATATAAAGGCGGTCAATGACCAGATAATTATTTTTATAAAATTTATAATTTTTACATACTTTTTGTTTATAAGTTTTAAATTTTCAGGGTCGAACAATTCTTTAAAAGATGTTGATTGATCAAAATACAGGTTAAAAGAAGTGATTTTAATTTACTAACGACATTTTGAATGTGACAACATTCATTTTCAAGTTACAGGAAGCATTGAAAACTGAAATTTTGGTGAAATAAGTGCATGATACACAAAAAATTACTTGTGTATAACAATATGTATGTAATATTGTACATAACTATTGCTCTGCACATATACGTAGGTGCAGAGCAATGAAGGTGCAGAGCAATGAAGGTGCAGAGCAATGAAGGTGCAGAGCAATGAAGGTGCAGAGCAATGAAGGTGCAGAGCAATGAAGGTGTAGAGCAATGAAGGTGCAGAGCAATGAAGGTGCAGAGCAATGAAGGTGCAGAGCGATGAAGGTGGTGCACACGGTGGAGACCTAAAAGGGCTGATCCGACCTCATTAAGGAGGCACCGCAGTTGTCGGCCGACGTTTAGGAGCCCTACCTGATGGCCGGGTAAGAAATGGACTCTGCTATAAGCGCGACACAGACACGAGCTTACAGCGAAGGTTGGTACTCTCCGACTAAACTAAAGGTGCTTGTACACGGGGACAGTACTAGCGGCAAGTAGATCAGTAAAATGTCAAATGTCTGCCGCTTGGTGTCTATCCCGCAAGTAAGCTTATATAGACACGAGACAAGTTAAGGTGTCGCCGTGCCGGTAACGACTAGATACCGGCACGGCGGCACCTTAAACTTGCCACGTGTCTAAGCTTACTTGCTGGTTAGACACCAAGCGGCAGACATTTGACATTTTACTGATCTACTTGCCGCCAGTACTGTCCCCGTGTACAAGCACCTTAGGCCTCCGACATTGCAGCGTGTGGCATGGTAGCACATCTTATCGGCAATAGTAGAAGAAGAATAGTAAAATAACTTGTGTAGTTATTGTTGTTGATATGTTACTGATTGTTGTGGTAATGCTCTCAACGTCTCTGTGGGTAAAACGGCATTCTAAAGGCAGCGATCGAAAGCCGCTGCCACCTGTGGTGCATGTGCTTTAAGGCTGCTAGAATAATAAGTGAATTCACCGAGTTCAATTCAATCTATGTTTATACGGATTTTAGCCTTTTTGAAACGGCGGATTTTCGCCAGAAACGGCAGAAAAGGAATAGGTGTCAACTCAAGAAAATCAAAAGGTTGTCCAGTCCCAAGAAGCCATGAGGGCACTAACCGCAGCTGCTCAGCCACATTAATCAAAAAATATGTGAATAATATAAATTACTTACGAAGGTATAGGAGTGTAAGTAGAGACAGTGGTAGTTTTGGAATTTTAGCCCACGTCAATGTTAGTAGGTAGTTTTAGAATCTCAGCCTCCTAATCCAATTATTCTGAATCCGGTTTTTTAATTCAAATTAAATCTACTTTACTAGGAGAAAAACCATTTGCAAACCTTGCCCGATTTCCATTCAATTGTCGTTTGTAGTTTTAATGTAATTTTATTATTAATATATTCAATTTGCTAATAACAAAATGGTGCCCATCTTTCACTATTGTATTCCTTTACTTCCACCATTATATACGTATTTATTGCCACGTGATTCCCATACTGAAAATAAAATGTTTATAAGAGCTCGAATAGCCCCCAATACAATTACTGTACCAGGTTTCAAACAAACAAGCACCAAAACAATCAACTTTTACAAAGGTTTATTTGATGAAGTCTGATTTAATGAAGCTCAGTTTTACGAATATATATGGGATTTTTTGATAGCGTATCAACGATACCTACAGTGTTGGAATATGGCAAAATCGGATATATCAGCTTTTCCTCGCGTATATGAAGTAAATAAACATTTGTGATTCGTAAAATTTTGAGCTAATTATTGTCTCACTTTTTATCAACTCATTAGCAATTCCTATCCACCCCTAATTTGTATGCAAATTTGAATTTTTTAAGCAAAATCTTTATTTATAGCTTTTCTAAATTGGAGACACCTTCATGCACCTTCTATGGTGATTTTCGCTGCTTGAAATAATAAATTATTTCGAGCACAAGATCGCATTAAGCGAACAGTTAAGAGCCACTGTATTTGAAGAACCTCTGCTGCTTCTTCGGGGATGGCAGGAGCTGCAGGCACGTCTTGCAGGTAGCCACGGCCGCCTGTCACCGAGCTGCTGATTTCCTTCAGTTTCTCAGCCGCTGCCACCTACCTGGGTTTGCAGGGTTATATCCTCTATCTGTAAGGAAGCAAATCCTTTGCATGCAGTGCCGCAAGGAATTCTAAATGAAAAAGGTTGATAGCTGCAAAAAGCGCTGAGTACTAAACTGCAATCATATAACAACAGCTGGGCATTTCGTTACTTTTTATCCTTGCAGATAATGCGTCGGACTAGCAAACGTGAACCTCCAATATTCTGTCATTGATGTACCTTCTTTTTGGATAATAATTGTTATCATTACGTTATCAGAATTATTCATCTTAACAAATCAAATAATAATAATTTAAATTATAACAAGAACGATAATTTCCTATTTATAACTTGCTGCTCACATTAAACGAAGAGATGCCAAGAATGTGGCATGAGATGCAAGATCAGTTGTTGTTGTCAGATATGCAACTCATTAACCTTGAACGCAACCTTATCTCACATGTATCGCGTACCTCAGAAAATACAGTGATAACGAGGTTGCAATCGCGCATTTCTAGCTCTTCTTCTCATTAAATACTGGGAGTTTTACCTGTGCACATCCTCGTTGAGTGTCGGTACTCTACAGCCATCCCAGTGAAAATTTTCAGACGCGGCAACGTCTGATTTGACCAGAAGCTGGGGCGACTCTAAATTTTGTTAGGGATTATAGAGTCAATAAAAGCATTTATATTTTCGGAACATGTATTTAAATTTTATTCCTAACATATTTTCTCCTGGCCATCAACGTCATTCTAACGTCATTGCAAGTCTCGATCTGACAGATAAATTTTTCTTTTTTTTGCATCTCAACACGTCTATTTCGTTCAATTTCCATTTTTTACATATTAATTTCTTATATTTTATACTTACCTCGTAAAAACAACCTCGTTCATATCTAAAATTAAGCCCGACTGTTGCAGTCTCGATGCAAGCTGTAAGCTGGATGGAAAAACTTTCAATCCACGTAACAGATTTTATGGCGCAGTTGTGGCACCATTCTTGCGTAGGTTTTAATGCTTCTCTGTGGAACTCGTTCTAGAATATTTACTTTTTATAAACTGAGGAATCGTGACTGTTTTAACACGAAAACTTTTCTGATCACTTATATTGATTTATTGAGTCTACGTGGGTAGTTTTTCAATTCAGAAAGTTAAAATTTAGTTCATGTATTTGAATGTTACTGACCAATCACTCTAATTTAATAGAAAATCACTGATCTTCGCATGTGCTCCATAGAGTTGAAATACTTGTCGAATCACTGTAAAATAAAGACGTGTTATTGGTCCATAAAAGTCATCAAAATTAGTGAGGGTTGCACGTGTCATCAAATTCAGTCAGGATCAACAACTTCAGGTCGATTGGTCTGCACCAGGGATCGGTAAACTAACCTGGGAGTCTCACATACACGTAGTTATTCTATTAAATTTGCCTTTATTCACATCTTGTCGAGGATGGATGAGGAATAAACATTTTTATGGGGATATTTTCAAGGTTAAAAGTACGCTAATTTAATTAACCTTGAAGGCAACCAGTTGATCCGATTGTGCAAGATACAGAGAACGTCTTGAGATTGCTACTAATCAACCTACAATAATAGGAACTAATTAACAATCAACGTGGATATCTTATCAATATTCATCGTAATTTTGATTCAATTTACAGTAAGGAAATACGAAATAAGAAATATTCACAGATTATGGGGCTCTTGGCGCCGTTTATTCTCACAGTGCTGCTGGTCTGGGTGGCCATGAAGATCATGAAATGGAGTGCCTCGGTGAGTGTGTCGCTTCGCAAACACTTAAATATTTGTTAATATTTACTTATACACTCGCAATAAAGCTTTTATTTTTGATGAATTTAATAATGAATGTACTGATGAAAGAACTGACGAACAAAATGTTGCAATCTCGTCAATGATAATCAAAATGTTAGTTATAAAAGTGAAAGTAAGTTTTGGTTGAGTTTGGGCTGTATGTTACAGGCTTGTTTATTTTTTAGACTGTGCATCGTTTCTTGAAATATTTCTGGACAATATTGAAGATGTTTATGTTGTTGTCGATAGGATGTATCTTATCACTGATAACAGATTACTCCTGGCCAATAAATGGTGTTTGTTGTAAGTAGAATATTTTTTCACGCCTGAGGAGGAAAACAATTTTGACACTTTTTGTTGTTAATTCAGCCATTTGATGGCATGAATAAAAACCTTAAATGAATAATTAAGTTATTACGAGTTCTTGAAATTACTATAATATTTATTAATAAAGTGTATTTCTAGAATGATGTAAATTGTGCAATTTCAGACAATTATTTCAAAATATTACTATGGCAGGTGCGTGCGCTGGACAGCATTAAAGGCCCCAAGGAGCTCCCCATACTGGGCAACGCGCTGGATTTTCTTGTCCCTCCCGACGGTGAGGTTTGCTGTGGCAAGGCAAAAAAAAAATAAACCAAAATTTATTCAATATTAATTAATTTAATTATTACTTTTTTTACCATTAATTTAATTTTGTTATTTGTTTATATGGTTTTCGTATAATTTTTTAGAATTATGTATATTAATTATAATCTAAAAGAAACTTTTGGGCCCGATTATGAGTAAAAGCTAAAGGTTAATTCAACGATGATTGACACTATATATATGAATGCATAATCAGATGGAATTTATGTGCAGTATTCTCATTTTTTATACTTGTAACAGCCAGTCACAGTGCAGTAATTAAGATCAGTGTTTCAAGTACAACCAGCAACAAAAACTTTATAAAAATGTTTACCAAAAACATGAAATTATACAGCGTTGATCTTAAACACTTTTTTAGTAAATGATGGCATTAGGAAAGAAGTGATTAAATTCAAATGAAATTTATCCCTTCAGAAATACTAGGCGTCATGATCTCGATGTGTCGTAAGGACTCGCCCATGACCAGGTTTTGGATGACGAAGTTCAAGCCGTACGTGGTTCTGCACAGCGCACCATGTGTAGAGGTAAGGGGAGTGCTGTGCAGAACTGATTAATGCTGTACGTGGTTCTGCACAGCGCACCATGTACAGCGCACCATGTGTAGAGGTAAGGGGAGTGCTGTGCAGAACTGATTAATGCTGTACGTGGTTCTGCACAGCGCGCCGTGTGCAGAGGTAAGGAGAGAGCTGTGCAGAACTGATTAAATGCCGTACGTGGTTCTGCACAGCGCGTGCTATGTAGAGGTAAAGGGGGAGCTGGGCATAACAGAAAATTACATAAGAACATCTGATCGTTAATCCAGTTTTTTTTTAATTTTATGTGAATGATCTTTAATAGAACTTATGACCATTAAATTTTCATGTTGTTGTAAAATATTCTGATTGTGATTGCATTATAAAATAATTTCCACTAAAAATATATGTTTCGTAGACAGAGACCTTTAACTTAATTAGGGAGCATCAGAGTAACATCTTTAACAATATGATTTAATACGGTTCAATGACAGACGTTTTCCTTCCAACATGCACTGCAAAAGTGAGTTTTGGCAAACGTTTCCATTAGACAATTGAACGATCAGGCCATTCATCCCCTCATGAGGGCTTAATTTAAGGAAATTCTTTTGTCATTCATTAAGCTCTGTTCACGTGGGTTCTACAATTGACAGATCGAGTGTAACGCCCGAAAATTTATCGGCTGGTAAGCTGCCTTCATCTCTGAGCGCCATTGAAAATGTGAACTTTTGCAGGTGCTGCTTAGCGGAAATAAAGCTCTCACAAAAAGTTCCGATTATGATTATCTGCTGCCGTGGCTGGGGCGAGGTCTTCTCATCTCGACAGGTTAGAATTTTCCGTCGAGATTTTACGATATCATTTAATCCACCTGCCAAAGTGATTATTATATGCCAAAGTGATTATTATCTATAAACGCAGTTATAGTTCTAACTTGGAAATAATATGAATATTATTATATTAATAATAATTCAACTCACGAATTTATTGTATCTTTAATTTGTATGCTATTGTTAATTATTGCAAATTAATTCTTCTCGGTTATTCATTAAATTAATATTAAAAATAAGTTTCGAGGGTAAATTAAACTTCTAATTTAATTCTTCATTGTCAAGGGGCGAAATGGTTTGGCCGTCGAAAGATGTTAACCCCCGCATTCCATTTCAAAATTTTGGAAGATTTTGTCGAAGTTTTCAACCAAAAATCGGCAATATTAGTCAGTAAACTTGCAGAAAAGGCAACCGGAGAAGCGTTCGATATCTTCAACATGGTTACAATGTGCACCCTGGATACAATCATGGGTGAGTAAAATTTTTCAAGAAAATCGCATGTTACCACTTATAGCTTCTGTTGATTTATTATTAATTAGTGAACAAAAATCGTTTACTCATTAGCTGTATCTAATGAGATTCTCTGAGTCTGATCTCAGACATTTTCCGTAAGTGTAAGCGTATTTGATGAAGATTATTGGACTAATGGAAGAAACGTATCATATAGAAACCACGATGGGTCTCAGCATGGACGTGCAGCGGCAATCCGAAATCCCGTACGTGGAGGCGGTCCACAAGTAAGTCATTCTGGCAAAGAACAGGCCGTCCTATGTATTTGTGTATGGAACTGGCCGTCCGACGTATTTGTGTCATGGAACTGGCCGTCCAATATATTTGTGTCATGGAACTGGTCGTCCAATATATTTGTGTCATGGAACTTGCCTTCCTGTGTATTTGAGTTATGGAACTGGCTGTCCAATATATTTGTGTCATGGAACTGGCCGTACAATGTATTTGTGTCATGGAACTGGCGGTCCAATATATTTGTGTCATGGAACTGATCGTCCAATATATTTGTGTCATGGAACTGGCCTTCCTATGTATTTGAGTTATGGAACTGGCTGTCCTATGTATTTGTGTCATGGAACAGGCCGTCCTATGTATTTGTGTCATGGAACTGGCCGTCCTATGTATTTGTGTCATTGAACTGGCCGTCCTATTTATTTGTGTCATGGAACTGGCCGTCCAATGTATTTTTGTCACGGATATGATCGTCTTTTTACAACACTTCTCTTTAACTTCACTTCTTGTTTGTCTGTTTGTCTGTCTGTCTGCTACAAATCTTGTAATCGAAATTTAATACACTTCTACTTATCCTATCGATCTGAAATTTTGCACACTTGCGTAAAGTTGGAGACAATGCATGAATCAAATGACAAAATAAATAATTTTAGGAATAAAAAATTTTTTTCCTTCAGTATTAAAGAAACTGAAAAAATAATTTTATCAGCTACAAATCTTATAATTGATATTTGACACACTTTTACCTGTCCAGTAGATATGAAATTTTGCACGCTTGTATGAAGTTGGAGGCAATGCATGAATCAATAAACAAAATAAATAATTTTGAAAAAAAATTATATATTAAAAAAATTGAAAAATTAATCTTTTAATATTCGAAAATAAAGTTCGAAATTCATTGTACATCTGTAACATTGGAAACACTGGATTCTTTAGAAGTGTTGTCTTTAAAAAGTAATTTTTACACGTATATTATTACAACACTTCTCTTTAACTTCACTTCTTGTTGTTCGTTTGTCTGCCACAAATCTTATAATCAAAATTTAACACACTTCTACTTATCCAATCGATCTAAAATTTTGCACACTTGCGTAAAGTTGGAGACAATGCATGAATCAATTAACAAAATGAATAATTTTGAGAAGTAAAAAAAAATTCAATATTAAAAAATTGAAAAAATAATTTTGTCAGCTACAAATCTTATAGTTGATATTTGACACAATTTTACCTGTCCAATTGATCTGAAATTTTGCATACTTGTGTGAAATCGGAGGCAATGCATGAATCAATTGACAGAATAAATAATTTCGAAAAAAATTGCATATATTAAAAAAAATTAAAAACTAATTTTTTAATATTCGAGAATAAAATTAGAAATTTATTGTACATATGTAACATTGGAGACACTGGATTCTTTAGAAGTGTTGTCTTTAAAAAGTAATTTTTAAACGTATATTATTTAAATGTATCATGGAACTGTTCGTCTGATGTATTTGTGTTATGGAACTGGCCATTTTTTATATATGTGTCATGGAACTGTCCATTCAATGTATTTGTGTCGTGGAACTGACAGTTAATTGAGCCAGAGAAGGTCTCGATGATCAGAGGGACTGTCCAAGAGGTCGCATAATGAAATATCGCATCGTTTTACGTTAATATTGTAGAAATTGGCATTCACGGCGCACTTCTATGCGCAATGAAGGTTTGAAAGGTTTAGCTTGACTGCTGTACCATCAATAAGGCTCTCACCTGAAGTAACAATTTCATGGACAGATTAAAGAAACTTTTAAATCTACTACAGGATTTCCAGTATTGCTCAAGATCGTCAGAAGAAACTTTGGCAACAGTGGGACTGGCTTTTCCGCCTCGTGGGAGACGGCAAAGAGCACGACAGATGCCTTAAGATTTTACACGGCGTCTCTTTGACAACTATTCGCGAACGTCGCCGCCTCTACGCGGCTTCCAGTAAAAGCGACAACTCCGCTCCAGAAGGCGAGAATTTATTGACATTTCATATCTAATTTATACCTTTCATATTGGTAGTATCATAAAAAGACAGTACATTTTTTTCGGGAAACTAATTTTGTTATGATACTCAATTGCCACCTTTTAAATTTACCAGTTTTAATCTGATACTATCTGATACTATCAAACAATGCTAATGCGATAAAGGGAAATAAATGGAATCTTCATTGGGCCGTAGACGCTTAAATGTCATTCACCAACTGCGTACTAAGCTTGAGCAGTTCATGCCAGGACCAAGCTTCCTTTCAACACGATGAGCTCACTCGTCCGTGACATCATCGTCCTCTACGACGCTAGATAAGCACGGGCTTATCGTCGTAGAAGACGCACGTCTACACTTGCCAGCGCTCGTTAATGCACCACGTCTGTCCGGCTCATGGAGATTAAATATCGCTTGATTAATGCTACATCTTGTGGACCAGTGAATTTCTTGTCAATGTGATGCGCGCGGTCCATGCACTGATAACTCTATTACTTTGCAGCAAACATAAAACATTACAAGCAACACTGCTGGGCGTTGCCCGAAATAGACAATCGTTACAACATGAAACTATCGTTATCTCGAACATATTTAAATTAACAAAATCTTAAAATGATACACACGTTAAGAATGCATTTAAAATATGCATATTAATTTGAATTTAAAATCCCATTTAATTCAAATTTCCATTTTAGATGAAATTTGAATATTTGAATAAAAATAAAATTTTGAATAGAATAGAAATTAAATGTGAGAAATTAAAACATAAATGAATTCTTATTCGAATTCATTTCCTTCTCTTATTTTGTAATGCTTAATGATTCTCTGACTGAAATTGAATTTCCAGATGCTAGCATTTCCCGACATGATCGAAATACTGAATCGGATAATCCCTAAATATTTAGTGTCAAGCTCAAACAAACATATACTGAAGCAATCTTCCACAAGTAGATAACAGAAGAGTAAAGGTAACTCAGAGTTGTCCGGTTTAGATAATACTTGCAATTTTAAAATCCTGCCATCCCACTAACTCCATCCTGAATCCCACCCACCATCCTGATTCATCATCATGAATCAACTTCATGCTGAATCCCCTGAATCCCATCATCATCCCAGACGAGATAAATGTGATGTCAGTCAAACAGACGAGATAAATGTGATGTTATGTTGGATGACATCATGACGTTAACGTGATGTTATGTTGGATGACGGGAACGTGAAGTTATGTTGGATATTCATGAGGCCGAATGTGTTTATCAGAATGGTAGGCGAAATATGACGGTATTCAAAATTCCTTGGCTTAAAACTGGTGCTTAAAACTTTCTAAACTATAGAGACAGATAAGTATGCTCTATGCATTACAAATTTACTGATATACTTTGTAGCATTTTTAATTAATTTGAAATGTATAGAATTAACATTGAAGTAAGCACTACTTTAAATAATAAGTTGGGGTCAGTGGTATTCCGAAGAAACGAGCGCAGGGGAGGGTAAGGGTGGCATTCGCGACGCGGCCACGAGTTTGTGTCGAGATTGGGAGTGGGTTCGCATCAAATTCAGCCGATAACCATCGCGAAATGTACTTTACAGTCACTGCAGAGCTCGCTGGCAGCCATTTTTAGAGCGTGCAGCCACGAACTTATTACTATGAATATTCGTACTCTAATCGTCGCTAATTAATAAATTTAATTATCATTGAAAATATTATCTATATTGTCACGATCACATACTGTAGCGGGAGAACTACGCTCCATACTCAAAGTTACTGGGTCTCTGCAAGCGGGCTCTAACGTACGAGGATGAATCAAAATTGGATCAGAAAACTTTCAAAGGCCTTAAGGTTTACTTAAATTTCATAGAAAATCCGCATTCACGACATAGGACTATCACTAAATGCATATAGGTTAACAAATACAGACATTATAAGGACATTAATACAGATATTTACAGTCATTAAAAAGCGCGGTAGGTCAGGCAAAGGTCGGTGCCTATTAGAAATCCACTGCTTCCCGCGATAACTATCTACGCATACTTTTTCATTTCAGTCTCCGTAAGAGAGGTGCGGCGGCTGAAGAAAACTAATAGCGCGGCCAAGGCTGGCCCGCTACATTACTGGTGTTTCGTATTTCTTTTGTCTGTTCATATCGTCCTTACGATTGCACACACCATAATTTTTTGGTATTTTTACTTTCAATTCATTGATAGACAACTCAACAGCACAAATTTTGTATCAATAATTTTTAATCGTTTTAATTATCATCGTTTGAAATACTTGAACGGATCACCTGCCGTCCTAACAGGCACCAAGGAGCGCCTGCCGTTCCTAGACCTGCTGTTGAAATACTCGGCCGAGGGCGTGGACTTGAGTGATGAGGACATCCGTGAGGAGGTGGACACGTTCATGTTCGAGGGACACGACACCACCGCCACCGCCGTCAACATGACCCTCTACCTGCTGGGGAGTCATCCGCAGGTCTTGGTAGGTCCCTCATCCGCAGGTCTTGGTAGGTCCCCCATCCGCAGGTCTTGGTAGGTCCCTCATCCGCAGGTCTTGGTAGGTCCCCCATCCGCAGGTCTTGGTGAGTGATGGGTAGCTGTTGAGCATGAGGTGGCCTTCGGGTGAGGGCAAGAACTGCGGAGGTGGCCCTCGGGTGAGGACATGAACTGCTGAGGTGGCCCTCGGGTGAGGACATGAACTGCTGAGGTGGCCCTCGGGTGAGGATATGAACTGCTGAGGTGGCCCTCGGGTGAGGACATGAACTGCTGAGGTGGCCCTCGGGTGAAAGCAAGAACTGCTGAAGTGGCCCTCGGGTGAGGGCATGAACTGCTGGGGCGGCCCTCGGGTGAGGACATGAACTGCTTAGGTGGCCCTCGGGTGAGGGCAGGAACTGCTGAGGTGGCCCTCGGGTGAGGGCAGGAACTTCAGCCCTCAACCTCATATTGCCACATTTGGATGAGAACAAGAGAATAGCTACACATTTATAGAAATACATTTAATAAAATTTAAAATTTATCATAGAAAATGAGCTTTGAGTTGTGGATCTGCGAGGCATAATGTCGCTCAATATCTTCAAATTATCGGGACATATCAAAGTATCAAAATATTTTTGTGAATGTTATAATTATATAGCATTCCATGAATATATGGAATTACTAGACCCTAACAAGCAGGGGATTGATTCCAAAAAAGCATCTTGGTAAAATTCCCCAGCTACATGAGGTGATAAAAATGTACTTTCCTGCAAGTAAACAAATTATCCAGCAGTCTGGTTGAAAATATATCACCGAAAGTCTACAAGAGTCTCAATAAGAAGCAAAATATATAAACGAGGATGACTGATGCATGGAACTTGATGCAGGCAAAAGTTCACGAAGAGCTTGACGCGGTGTTGGGTGACGACGAGTTCATCAGCAGCGAGCATCTCACGCAGCTCAAGTACCTGGAGCGCTGCGTGAAGGAGGCGCTCAGGCTGTACCCTTCTGTGCCGATCATCGGGCGAGTCAGCGCTCAGGACCTTGTCATCGGTGGGACCAAGTTGCTATAGTAACTTATTATTATTAATCTTATTATTTTTCTTTATTAATATAATTATGATGATGATTATTATTATTATTATTATTAATATTATTAATATTATTATATCATTATTATTATTAATGTTGTTGTTATTGTTATTATTATTATTATTCTACGAAGCATTTATCGTGGCGTCTGGCTCAAATGAATTTAGAGGGCACGTCACACATAAGATTAATAGCAAGTGAAAAACTTATGAGATTCATTACTATTAAAATATCATTTCGCAATGGAATACTGAATGGAAAATCCTGTCACTCAAATAAACTAACCGTTGAAAATTTTAAAGTTCACTGGGCACTATAAGAGTAATAAAACTGAGAAAAGGCCACAGCTTTTTAAGGGATTTTTCTAAACACTGACTTGTTGCATACGACTATGAGTTATCAATGATTGTTCTTTTTGAATTAAAAATTCGCGAAATAATTGGTTCCCTCTTAATATTCCAGTATGTATCTACAACATTTTATTGTTTTTATTTTTAATTTTCAGATGGAAAACTTATTCCTGCGGGAACCAACTTGATGATCTTCATTTACCTCCTGCATCGTGACCCAGAGCAGTTCCCAGACCCTGAAACTTTCGACCCTGACAGGTTCCTTCCAGAGCAGATTGCCAAGAGGCATCCTTATGCCTACGTGCCTTTCAGCGCCGGCCCTCGCAACTGCATCGGTACGTACGCACTACATCGCACGCCATTTTAACTCTTCTTCCATGTTCCGCATCATGTCATTCCTAACTGTACATCCATTACTGTTCATTAGTGCTCTGAATCATCTCTGTTCTCAACGGTTATTTTTTCTGTTTATAAGTGACTGGCGTCATCTCTGTTCTCTAAGGTAATTATTACTGTTCATCAATACTCTGAATCATCTCTGTTTTCAAAGGTAATTATTACTGCTCATCAATGCTCTGAATCATCTCTGTTTTCAAAGGTAATTATTACTGCTTATCAATGCTCTGAATCATTTCTGTTTTCAAAGGCAATTATTATTGTTTATCAGCGGCTGGCGTCATCTCTGTTATGAACTTTTCTCTGACACTCAGCCATGCCGATCGGCTCAATAACAAAATTAGGTTTATTTTTTAGTCCAGGTTCATTCCAATCACTCGCATTCCACTTGACGATAATGATCATTACATGTCGACTGTTTTTATCATTAATTCATTCGAAAATGAGTTGCTTATACAGAAACGTTTCTTATGCAGGCCAGAAGTTTGCACTGATGGAGGAAAAGGTGATACTGGCGAGCGTGCTGCGACGGTTCACCATCAAGAGCCTTCATCGCCCGCATGAGCTGCGGATGATGGGCGAGATCATCTTGAGGCCCAAGCGAGGGGTCATGTTGAAGATGTGGCCCAGAAACAACTAACAAACCATCGCAAATGGTCTGCACACTAACTTTGAATTTCAAATGTAGCTTGGCAAATTATTTACTGACGATAAATCGATAAGTTGGCTTAACAAAAATTTGTCGAGTAATAATGAGGATTTCTTGTTTAGTTCTGCTCAAATAAAGACTCATTTTGACACTGAATTAAAATTTAGGAGTAAATTAGTGTATGAAAACATTTACACTATTGAAATTGTTGAAATTGTGAATTAGGCTTCTTTCGAACTGACTGGTATGATAATGATTTGGGGGGAACGAAAAAAAATCATTCAACCTCTGCGGATTGGAATGATGGCTATTTAATTAGACAAAAACGTGATTCAGAGAGAGGACACATCTTAGTTTCGTGTTTTGAGCTCCATTGTACTAATCAAGATCCAGTTGCTACGAGAGCCATTTCATGTTCGTCAGCTATAAAGCTGGCGAACATTTGATAAACGTTGATGCCCTTAACTATATTATTATATATGGTGTTCAACAAAAATTTCCCAAACTTTTTTGTTTTTATTTACTTGTATATTCCTTTCTTATTTAGGTAAATTTAGTTTTCTCTTCGAACAATTAGTCTTTAAAAATTTGTGAAATAGCCACTTGATTGCACGTATCTAAAAACTGAGAAGCAAAACAATTTTTTCAGGGGAAATTTCTCTCTCGTTCGTTTTTATTTGTTGATTCTAAGTAAAAAAGCAAAAATAAATCTAAAAGAGTAATAAAAAATTTTCTCCAATCAAGTTTTAATAAATAAAGTAATTTAGTATACTTCGACATGCCCTCCGTTTCTCTCAAGGCAAGTACTGCTTTTATCCATTAAATTCGTGAACATTTTTGTGAGACACCTCTACGCTCTGATGTTCCTTAGCTAAACAGGGCCCTTAGACGCTGATGTTCCTTAGCTAAACAGGGCCCTTAGACGCTGATGTTCCTTAGCTAAACAGGGCCCTTAGACGCTGATGTTCCTTAGCTAAAGAGGGCCTCATGACGCTGATGTTCCTTAGCTAAAGAGGGCCTCATGACGCTGATGTTCTTTAGCAAAAGAGGGCCTCATGACGCTAATTTTCCTTAGCTAAAGAGGGCCCTTAGACGCTGATGTTCCTTAGCTAAACAGGGCCCTTAGACGCTGATGTTCCTTAGCTAAAGAGGGCCCTTAGACGCTGATGTTCCTTAGCTAAAGAGGGCCTCATGACGCTGATGTTCTTTAGCTAAAGAGGGCCTCATGACGCTAATTTTCCTTAGCTAAAGAGGGCCTCATGACGCTGATGTTCCTTAGCTAAAGGGGAGCTATGGATATTAAGTAAGTTGGTAGTAACTTAGATGAAGCTGATATTCCTTAAAATTAGAGGGCTGCAGCGGTGGAGCGGTCGTGTCGGAAAGACCGTTTTGTCGCCATATCAGGACCTCTCGATGGTGCTGCATCACCGCCTCAGCCGAGCGTCCTCTCGACTTTCGACAGCAGCGGCAGTGAGCAGCTTCGGTGCGATGCCTACGCAGCGTTTCTATGCCAGTCGGCTGCATGTGGGCCTGAAATTAGGGCAGTATTCGTAGTGCCTTCATTCATACGGCCGTTTCTTTCATTTTAAGAAATAAAACGCAGCCTTATCGTTCCTGCTCGCAGATTGTATTATCTCGCATACGTTGAAGTTTGGCAAAAGTAAAATGCTCAACTGGAAAATAACGGTTGTGCAAATAAATACTTGCATATCATACTAATGCATAGATTACAGTATGGATGTAATAAAAGACTAAACATGGACATACCTGTATTTTAATTAATAAACACGTCACGCATGCCTAACTTACGCCGCGCAACGTGTTTCTTTCAGTGAGCAAGCAAAACATTTTTAAAACACATTGAACCTGCACCCTCTGACCAAGAGATCAGGACACTTATCAAGAGACAGTCCACGGCTTACTTCTGAGTTCCGGTCAAGTTGCGATTTAAATTTAATGGCCATCCATTCTCATCATCGATACAATTTGAACATAATCAAGCTCAAACAATTACAAAATATATCGTGTCAACTTCTATCTAAATACTCCGAAGACTACTCGGTATGTTCTACCTACATTCTCCGTGAATTACATTTTGTGCCTTAACTTTCGCGAGTGATATTTTAATAACAAACTAACTTTGTCTAACTTCATCCCTAATATTTTTTGTGGTCGGGCCGTAGAAGTGCGACGACGGAAGTGAATGACAGTATATTCCTGCAAAGTGAATGGCAGTATTCCAACAGGGTATATAATATGATCAGATGTTAATTAACGTGAAATGTGATGATATGCTGTAACATAACTGATGCATAGATATAATCACTAATCATCGTAATATGATTGATAGCTTCTTAGACGTAATCAACAAAAAATCAATTCATCTACCAAACAAATTTCGAGGCATAAGAATGCTTTGAATTTTACTTTACTTATTACCTGACAAAAATTATCCAAACTCAGGATATGTTCCATTTTTTTCCTGTGAGTATTTGAGGCTCGGGCTTTTATTGCTGCTCCGGTGCTTATGTCTTTTATGCTACTAAGCCCCAAGAATTTTAAGCAAAGAAACTTTGTTGACTTGAAAATTATAAGGCTTTACGTAAGCTGTAGCCTCAACAAATGGTTGTCGAGGAAAAAGGCAGAGGCCTTGAATCTTAAGGAAATGTCATAAAACACTTGCTACTAATTGCACTCTTAACTGGTCATGTTTCAACAGAATTTGAGTAAACTTCCATTTTTATGAATAATTTGACGGCAGTTTTGTTTCATGATAATGTTTGTCATGTAAGGACATTATACCTCCGTTCTCAACAAGCATCACTAGAAGTAGCTCATGTCGGAGTTTTCATTGAAATAATCACAATCTAAACGAAATTTTAAGTTTGTTTTGATATATGTTCTTTTGGTGCACGTGTGAATTCCCGCTGCAGATACATCTGTATATTTTGACCTGAATAAAATACGTGTGAGTTTGAACCTACTTTTTCTGTGGCCTCGTGACCGCATTAAAAGTTAGTAGAAAATCCAGAATAAAAGTGGTCGGAATTCCCTGCAAATCAATTTGCATAGAAGTACGCTGCGTGTGCATTGTGATGATGGGGAGTTTCAGGCCGGCAAAAGGCTTTAATGAAACATTCCTGTGAAAACGGATTAAATTCCTCTAAAAAAACGCTTGGTCGTGAAATTTATGAAGAAGAGTTTCACCTCGCAGGTATAACAGACGGCTTTCCCCGCCACATCATTGAACATACAGCAAGACATAAGACCATAGGCTATGAAAACATGAATGAAATTGGAAGCAAAGCATGATATCAAACCTAGAAAAATTAAGGCAACAAGTTGAATTACAAGTTTTTCCATTGAGTAAATTAATATCCTTATTTCATCCACCATGCAGTTAATTAGCAGTATTTTACTCTATGAGCAAATTTTAGTTCTAATCATAATCAAATTAACCCGACGCAAATTTTTCGTTTTATTATTGGAGACAGAAATTAAATTCGAAAGCAAAAGTAATCGTATCGTCTCATGCCAATTAACATCATATGCATATAGTTTTATATAATTAACATCATATTTCTATAGTTTTTAAATTACTAACTAGGAAAAAATCGCACGATGCACCACTGTCTGGTGAGGATGAAGGACTTGGCAGGTTTATTACAGAAGTGAACCGCGACCGCAGAGGTGCAATGATCTCTTGTCTGCTGCATGTTCGTGACTTCAGTGCCAGTTGTACAAAAAAATATAACTCAGTACTCGCTGCAGTGAGTTACAGAGAGCGCATTTTCTCGTCGACGAAAACATAAAGTCACGGACAGACAGACGGACATGACGAGCACAATAGTGCATTTTTTCTATAAATGAGAAAATGCGGTAAAAATAATCATCCTCTCGGCAGAATAAAGTTCTCATTTAAATTTAAAGTTCTCAACCTTTATCAACTGCCGTTTTGAATTTAAAGTTCTCAACCTTTATCAACTGCCGTTTTGTGAATTTTGAAATAGTAAGTTTTTGTGAGCCACGCTGAATAATGGAACAATATATTGATTTTAATTTGGTATGCCTTAAAAATAATAAATCTATCAGATAAAACGTCTTAAAGTAAATAAAATCAATGAAAATTTTTAGGATATATAAATTACTTTTATGATGTAAATAATTTGCAATGATTGAAATTATCACTTTTTTAATTACTCTTGATGATATCAATTTTAGGTCAGCTGGCAAAATACAATTCATCCCAATATCAGAAAGAAGCTAAAAATGAAGAGAACAATTTAGAGGAAATTAAAAGAACATAAATGAAGCGAACAATCAAAACATTTTTTAGCGTGGTATGCCCATTTACTTCGCATGTATGATATTTTTGAGCGAATTCTTACAATTTTCCTTTTGAATATAAAAACGGAATTCCGTTGATGAGTGTCAGAGGTGTGTTTCTGGAATTGTTTTTTTCTTTCTTCATTAGTTTAGTTTCCTATAAACATCCTTTCGGCATTTTCCAACAACTGCACAATTGCAACTTCCTTACTCACTCTGATAAGCTTTAATGTAATAATAATAATGATAATTTAAATAAGATGTGTTAATTCCGCGTTCACACATTAGTTTATCTTAATGGTTCTTAGTCGTGTTCAAATCCGCACCGATCGACTGATATATCTTCAAATTATAGCAGTTATACAAACTTGAGCCTTTGATATCACAATATAGCTGTAATTCTCTCACGGTAATAAAAACTTGAGCCTTTGATATCTCACTCTAATTCTCTCGCAGTAATATAAACTTGACCATTCTATTTCTCGAAAAATTTAACCGCTGTAATTAAATCATTCGATCTTACTTTAAAAGAGAATGACGATTCGATGTTGCTAATTTTTTTTCAAATTTCTGCAGTGATGTGCCAAGAATACCGTTTTGTCATGAGCAGTGAAGTACCAATTAAGAGACACTGTCCTGTGCATTAAAGTACCAAGTATACTGGTGTGTCAAAAACAGTGCCAAGTATCCCTGTACGTTATGCACCGTACCAAGTATTTCTATTTGTCATGGACACTAAACGAATTATGATCATTACTAATGAAAAAAATATGTATATAATATATACCCAATAACAATATTTACGAACTCTAATTAGGAAAATAACAATGAACAATCTAATTTTTCTCTCCTAATAAAAGAGTCGAAACTTGTGGATTAAGTTGATTACATTTTGATTGAGGAGCCATTATAGAAAATTAAATTTTAAGATAATTAATGATTAATATTTACTCCATAACTATATGACCGTGAGTGTGATGCACGAGTTTAGCAGTAAGAGTTTGTTGAAGTATATTAAATTTAGTTTTACTTTCAATTGTACGACTTTGGTTTCCGTACTCAGTTTTTCTCTTTCAGGTCATAAAGTTTTCCTTATCTTATCTTAATTTAACTCCTTTTAATAATAATTTTTGCAATATAATCTGCCACCTTACATCTTTCAATAGAGAATTGGCCATGACAG